TTCTCATGTGTTATTCACTCTGACAGGAGAAAGGAGGGAGACAGAAGATGATGCTCACTGTAGGTGTTTGTGGGTGCATGGTTTTTCAAATGAAGCCAATGTCCTAGATTTTCCTTACGTATGTGTGCTCCAGCTGTCTTCCCTGAGTCACGGGCTGTTACTGGAATCATGCTGTCTTCTTTGCTATTGAAATCATTGTTAGGTAGTTCTAGGAAATGTGGATGTTGGATCCATTTTCACGGACATACAGCACTGCCTTGGGTTTTTTCACCCAAGGGCAAATTGATATGTTTCGCTTACCCTCTATTCTGAGCCCTGCACTTGTTAAGTAATGACTCGTGAAAAATAAGAGCAATCTTTTCCTTCACAGCTTTGTAATGTGAAGGAAGAAAAGAAAGTTGCATTGAAAAAAATGACTTAAGGAACACATTAAACATCTTGTGTGTTACGAACACCAGTGATATTGAGTTGTAAAAATACATAAAAGAACCTTATGGGTAAAGAAAATGAAATTTAAACCTAGGACAAAAAATTTAAATGCACTAGCATGCACTAGAAAAGGCTTCACTAAAGAAGAGAAAGAATAAGAACAGAATGGAGGATGAAAGGACATTGAGGAAGCATCACTCCTAAGAAATCATCTCGCTGGTGTATGAAACGGCTCAGTGAGTAAAGGTGCTTATTGTCATGGATGACTTTGCTCATGGGACCCACATAGTGGGAGGAGAGAATCCATTCTTACAAGTTGTCCTCTCACTGCAGCATGTGCCGTGGCACACACACAATAATACATCCGCATACATACATGCATATGTACATACATAAGCTGGAAGAGAAAACAAGGTGGCAGTGTCACAAATGGAAGCAGACAGAATTAGGGAAGGAGACAGTTGATTCTTTTAATATTCTGGATGTCCCCATCAACTGCTCTCAAAGATGTGATGTCTGCATGAACTATGACACATCCTAAAGGGTTTATTAGCTATTTAGAAGAATGAAGAAATGCATGCGTTTGTATTCCTGTAGCCTTAACTCATAAATGATCTTTCAGTGTTTGAAATAGACACCCTACTATTGTTGAAAATGTTTATAAATAAATTTAAAAGTCTGCATACCCTTAAAATTATTATTTAGCATGGCACTTTTTTTCATTGAAATAACTGTCTCCATAAGATAATATGGGACAATAACTATAATTACTATGTGAGTGTATGTGTGTGTGTGTTTGTGTGTAACTTTCTACCTATTGCGCTTGTAGTGAGGCTTGGCTAGCTCCCTGGCTGCCTTCATGTTCCTGCTCTATGTTCCCATACTAATGGCAGCTGAAGTGCCAGCCCAGGAGCACTGCCCTGGCTCCACGAGACCGAGGCATGGCTGCTTTCTCTGCCGGTCAGCTCTGTGGAGTCTATGGCTCTAAGCATGGCTCTTGGGCCAACTTTACCACCCCCATAATGCTCGGCTCAACCCCTGACAATATCCGCCATGCCTGCGGTACCTGGTAGAATGAAGACTCTTAATGCTTAAAGATTATCCCATGGATTTACATTTCAGCAAATACTCCATACACAAGATGCCCACACAATTAGAATTGTTACCCAATAACTAACCTTTAGGCATGAATAACTACCCAAGAGTCCTAGAGACATGGACAGACATCTTTCCTCTCCTTCTCATCTCCTTCCTCTTTTATTTCTCTTTCCAACACCCAGTTCCACCTACCTCTTCTACTGACCAACCACTGAGCTCTACTACAAATACAATGGGCAGGAAAAATTCCTACCACAATATCTCAACACTGAATTCAAATGTTTCCAATACTTTTTTCTGCACTGTACTACATAGGGATGCTGTTTTGGCTCATTCTACTGATACGTAGCATCAGCGTAATGAACCCATCTTTGCCTTTCTTAGCATCTGGGCAACATTTAAGTTTTGAAAATCATTCCTATTTTGTGGTGAACACAAATACTAACACTGTGCTTCGTCTTCCATATGCTGGGAAATACAGTTTGTAAGTTAGTATTAGGTCTTGGAATAACAAACACAGTAACTTAAACAGATACGTATGGAAAAGTCACTGACCTCCAGGAATGATGAGTCCTCTGCTGTGGGAAACAGCTTGTCATTGGTCACCTGAGCTACTCATGTCTGTCTGAACAAGTGACAGCCATCAGGGTCCAACAAAAGCCATAAGGAAGTGTAGATCATCATTAGTTTGTTAAATAAAAGGTGGAAGATGCCACAGAAAATCCCTGTGATATGTGTGCGTGGAACCTTGAATGTGCACGGATACAGAGGCAGTGAGGAGGTAAAGGATGTCATGGAAGGAGGGATGCGGGGTTAGAGGACAAGGATGTGTGCAGTTATAGTGGTTTCTCAGGGAGAGATGTCACCAGACATCGAAAATTTCCCAAGTCAGTGAAGAGAGCAGAGGGCCCGCAGCACTAGTAAGGGACGTCTGATAGAAGGAATGGAGAGAAGAAAGGTTTGGGGAGGTCTGCTGTGAGATCCCGTCAGACAGATTAAGTGTGGGGTCTAACACAGGTGCAAAAAAACAATGAGGACAAAGCATGTTCTTCTGGGTCAGCACTGAAGAAATGTTGATAAGGATTTGTTACAAATCGTCTATGAGGAAAGGCACATAGCTGGGTGATAGATGAATAGATAGATAAACAATAGATGATAGATAGATAGATAGATAGATAGATAGATAGATAGATAGATAGATGATAGATAGATAGATAGATGATAGATGATAGATAGATGATTGATAGATAGATAGATAGATAGATAGATAGATGATTGATAGATGGATGGATGGAGAAATAGATATAAATATTCATCAGTAGAGTGTGTGAGGCCTGGAATGAGTGTATAATTTTCAGAATTGAGAATGTAGCAAATGGAAGGGGTACTTTGAGTGGAAGATGAGTGTATCGTATTTGCTAAAGAACAGTATAAATCTTAGTGTTATTTAAATTAACATAAAGACAGAGTGCTACCTATGTAAAATGTGTGATATTTTAGGGAACCTGGTTGAAACAAAGAAATAGGAAGGTCACAAGTACATGGAATTAATTTTTTTTTAAAGACTAGGAAATCTGATAAAGAAACAAAGAATTTAAGAAAAGAATCAGGACAGGGTAATAGCATGTAACACACGCGTATGCACACACACAACATGGACTTGCTTGAGGAGAAAGGCACATCAGCAAATGCAATTGTTTAAAACAAAGGAGGCTGCCTTTGAATTGTTATCATCCAGGGTGCTACAGACACAGACTGAAACAGATGTGAAGAAGGCTCACAGTTGAACTCAGGTTGTATCAAAGTCTAGCATAGAAGAATGAGAATGGATAGCAAGACAAGTCTCTTGAGAGCTCATTGGCTCTTTGTTGGATGCTTAGTGTTTACTTATTTATTTTGTAGTTTAACAAATGTCTTTTAGATATTAAACTCCTGTCGTGATGCTAATTTTAAAAATAACTTTAAAAGAGAGGTCGGTAGGCCGTGTCAGTGTTCAGAATTTTCTTATGACCAGCTGTTACTACAGCCATCTGTTCATATGCAGAGAAGACACCTTTGGCTGGAAGAGAATCAGGAATGGAAAATGAAGAATATCTGGAGAAAACTGTTACACCCTCAAGCTTCTAATTTGGCCTACATGACCAAAAAAATGACCAATTGAAAGTCTCACAGATTACAATTTCCATGTGTATGAAGGGTGGAGTTTCTGATGAGAGTGCCAACACCATGTTGTCTTTATGTGGAAGTCCCAGTTCTCAGTCTGGCATCATCAAGTGTCTTCTGCCATGCCACTCTGCCCAAGGCTGTGAAGACCCGAGTGCCGTAGTAGCTCTGCCAGGACCTTCTACTGGGCTACAAATAGTCATGATTGTGTAGTCTCTGCAACTCATCTTTGCATCCACAGTGGTGACGGCAGCTTTCCGTTTGGTATTATCACAAAGAACTTTTCCAGTATGGTCTGAATTGCCAAAATACCATGACCATAAAATCACAGAAATCACAAAAATACATGTTTACCTTCCCGAGAAGCATCAATCCAAGCAAGATAGAGGTGGCCATGGGCAGCACTGTACAGAGTATTCTTGACTGTAACTCCACTCAACCTTCACAGCAGACTTTCTAGTCACTAGATTATTCCCACTTTTATAAAGAAAAGTAAGGCAGAAAATAAACATAAAGGCCTTCAGTTGCCGAATTAAAAGCCATACCTGTATTTGAAATTAGCTCTGCCTAATATCAAATCATATACAGGTATTGAAGACACAGTATGACCTACACACTGAAAGCCTTCATATGGCTTTCTTCTCTGAATTGCATGCATCATTTATAGAGATAATATGCATATTTATATCCATCGCATACAAGGGAGTTATTTGATCATCAAGCATATCTTAAAACTCGCCCTAAACTGTAGGTTCCTTTACAATGGTATTTGGATTTCACTTGTTTGCTTTCAAAAGTTGTTAATAAAGTCTTAATAAGGGTATTGTGATATTCACTGAAATATTTTTGTGGGTGGTTTACAGGAGACAATCAATGTCCCATCATTTAATCAGCCTTGCACAAGCATTCCGTAATGATGACAGGAAGCATAGAATCCTGTGGAGGAACCTGAGAAGTGCTATTTGCTCTGTCCATTGAGACATGTTAAATATACATATCCTTTTCCGATTCTCTTCTTTAATCTCCTCTTTAATCAGATTCATTAGAGAGAAAGCTATCTCACGCATACGCTTGGCTCCTTAATGTATTGGTGGGAAATGACCTCACTATCATTGATAAAATGTAGCTTCCAATTTAAATAAGTGCAGGGCTCATTTAATTACTTGGTACATTTGTAGATCACCATAATTATATGGTGTGATCATATAAAGGGAAAGAATATGTAATTGGAGGGAACCTAAGTTGATGTTTTCTGGACTATACAATAGTCATTGCTGTTTACTTATGTTCATTTGATTTTGTTTTCTCAGGTGAAGACGGATGACAGAGTTGTCAAGATGGATTTGGGCTTGCTCTTCCTCAGAGTACGCAAGTCAGATGCAGGGACCTATTTTTGCCAGACAGTAGAGCATAGCTTTGTCCATACTGTGCGTAAAATCACCTTGGAGGTGGTCGAAGAGCATAAGGTGGAGGGGATGTTTCATAAGGACCATGAAGAGGAAAGACATCACAAGATGCCCTGCCCTCCCTTAAGCAGTATGTCTCAGGGGACAAAACCCTGGTACAAGGAATTCTTGCAGCTGATTGGTTACAGCAACTTCCAGAGAGTGGAAGAATACTGCGAAAAGGTGTGGTGTACAGATAAGAAGCGGAAAAAGCTTAAAATGTCTCCCTCCAAGTGGAAGTATGCCAACCCCCAAGAAAAGAGGCTTCGTTCCAAAGCTGAGCACTTCCGACTGCCCAGGCACACGCTGCTTTCCTGAGGGCGCCCTCTGCCGGCTGCTTAGGAACCTAGAATGGAAACGTTTTTTTAAGTGGGGGAAACAAAAAGACTGAAAGCATGCCAAGTCTTTCCATTACTTCAAAGAGCTTTCTGTAGTACTGAGAGGCGGGAAAGGTGTTTTAACTTATTCTGCATACTCATCTGACTGTACAAACCTCTCACAGTACTAGTACTTAAAGGACTGTATTGCGTAAAAGGCTTCGCGTTGTATTTATCAACATATGGTCGGGGCTGTAATTTTTGAGCTTGCTTTTCAGGGAAATTATTTTACCATGGGGATATGTATTATAATTATAATATTAAAGAAAAGGTTATGTTTTCATAATCGAAAAAAACGTAAAACTAAATCAGCTCTAATCTTTCTGGAGGTTTTTGGGTTTTGATTTCTTCTTGTTTGTTTGTTTTTGGTTTGGTTTGCTTTGGTTTTTCTTTGCAGCCATGAGGTAAAAATGCACAGAATATTCGATACTGTCGGATTCTCATGTGAACTTTCTGGTCAGTTGTTGATTTTTTTTTTTTCAAGCCGTAAGTTTTAAGCAGCTGTGTTGTGGTTGCTATAAACCGTACAAGAAATCTGTGACCTGTCCCTTCTGAGGCTTGTTCTCTTCATGGAACGCTCACTGAATTATACTAAAAATATTTCTGTTTTATAAACAAGACATATCCTTTAAATTTCACTTCAGTGTGGAAGGAAGGAAGATAACCTCTCAGAAAGATATTTTTAAATATTTTCAAACCATGAAAGTAGAATTCTGTTAACAGGTCTGTGCTTCCCTCTTGTGGTAGAAGAAGGGATCGTCTCTCCCAGTGCCGTTTCCACACTCACCCTGCAAAGATTTGAAAAAAAAATATTAAGAGTAGATGCATCTAGTTCCTTTTTCAGAAGACTCAATTTAAAAAATAATTTTGTACTCTAATTTAATATGGAAGCAGCATGCTTGTGGATAATTTATAACTTCACCACACAATGAAGATGTTAACTTCTTTGTTGAGCAAAGCATTTGAGCTTTGAAATAGTAAAAAGTAGCCTTTCAGTCCTTTCCTGAGACAAGAAGACATTTTGGAAGTATGTTTTACCTGTAAAGACATTATCAAAGCATTCTCTCTTAGAAACGAAATCTTGCTATTATATATTTGCTTCTTGGATTCATTTTACTACTGACATCTTCAGAGAATTATTATCTTTGTCTTATAAATATTACCAAAATTAATATTTTTCAGACTGTTTATTTCTTGAGTTCTTTCCTCTTTCTATTTTAAAGAGTTAGCAGCTTTCTTTCTAAAATATGAGCTTTCTGAGACTTTCCAGTCAGGTAAGAGTAAAGCCAGTGTCATGTACATAAGTACAATTATGAATACTTTATTCAGACTTAAATTTAACTATTTATGTCAGCTATCCCAGTATGCTGTATAATTAAGGATATAAAGTATTGGAAACTTCTAATGGATTTCTTTTCGCTCTGAGTAAATACATAAACATTCCACAGAAGTTTTTAATGTTCAGAATTTTTAAAACATCTAACAAATATAAATAAAGAGAAAATTGACATCCTCTGAAAGTCCACATATAATTGTGTAGAATCCACTGGGAGTCATTGTTGCTCACCAGTAGTAATTGATAAAGGGAGTATTCAAGGCTTTTAAAATACTGTAGTTCATGGACACAAAGTGGGGAGGGCAAGCCGGGGAATTAAAACTATAAAGTCACCTCACTGATTTCTAAGGAAAGTATATGTCTGGAATATTCCAAGGGAACGGACAAATCTATGGAGAAGGTTTGAAATGACCCTTCCACTTAGCAAATTACAGGGAAGAGGACGGGTTTTTTTTTTTTATAATAAATAAGTAAAGAAAAAAATAATAACCTAAATCAAATATGCATGAGTGTTTTTTAATCTTAATTCACTGATAGGCAGCTAAAGAGTAAAATAATCTTGCTGTAAGGTAAGTAGAATTCAATGACTTGTTTTTACAATTTAATCAGCAAATGCAAATGAAGACCATTGAACTAAAAATCAGACTTTAATCTGAAAGTAATCTAAAATATATAGATTTAAATGAAACATGATAAAATTTTGAGGTCTTGGTTCCAAATCTAGGAAGAGCACTAAATTATATATAAATATGTGTTTATATGTACATATTGTCACATATTATACATCCTCCTACACACCCATTTATGATAAGACAATTAGGAACTGACACAGAGAGGCAGAAACAGGAGCATAGAGACACAGAGAGCACACACATGTTCCAAAGATATAACTGATGTACCACTGTCTCTGTCCCTCTCTCCTCTAACCGTCCTCACATGTAGACCTCATGGTAGGGTAAAATGCATCACTAACCCCTTTCAAAGTTCAAACCAACAAGGTACAAATCTACTAACAGTTTTTAAAATCTGAAGCCAGCTACATAAGCATCACTAGTCTTGTGTTGGGCCTGGGGTTAGAATTCAAGACTTTCCTTTGATAAGAATTTGAAGAAAAAAAAAAAAAAGCAATGATGATCCCACCATGAACTCAGGCATCTGAAGGACTCTGTAAAAGAAGATAACAGCCCACCTTGAGATGCCCAGACATGACCTTGGCAAATAAAATATGTCCTCAAAACACATAGCTGACCCATCCTTGTTCCAAAGAGTCCTTTCTGTATAACCAGTTTCCTGCTTCATGAGGGCCCATGATACCATCTAAAACAAGTAGCCTCTCCCTCAATATAATGCAATCTACCTAGCTATGATCCAGACACATGAGGAATACCACATTTAAAAAGATTTAATGACTTTGGAAGTCACTCTTCTTTTTCATTAAATGCAAATATTGCATGGAGATGTTTTCAACATTGAGAAACAGGAAAGAAAACAGATAAAAAAAAAAACCTAATAAATCCAGAGCAAGGAATGGAAAGTCTACACTTGTTTTGTAAATTTCAATGCACATAATATATGGTAACATTATGCTAAGTGTCTTCCTTTCCACAATTGACGAAATCAGTAGATCACTTACTGAGTATCTAGCAATTGTTGTGGGGTGTAGGGTTTTGTAAATTCTCATAGTAATTATGAATATTTGTAAAATTTGTACAATATAACAAATCATTCTGGATGTTAGTCTGAAGCATGAGAGAAACAGCAGTTGTTGTCCTTAAAAATGATAGATAGCTTTATCCTGTCAAGCATATGGAGTACTGAATGCTATATAAATACTTTATATCCCAGGTAAATGTCACACTTTTGTGATGAAAACCAGTCACTGGTTCCTTCTAAATATACTGCTCATTTTCCAGGCCAATAGTTGCTGATTTGTATCAGATATAATTGCTGTATTCTTTACGAACTCTCTCTTGCTTGTGGCAGTATTATTTTAACTGCTGTTCTGTTATGTTATTGTCTTGGAAGAACAGCTTTATATATTGACTTTCATTATACATAGAATAGCTTAGCTCTGAGCCAGAGCACAATACTGGAGTATTTTTGTCTCTATGGTATCCTTTGTCTCCTTTACAGAGGCTGTAAAGCATGTGCTGTACTGTTTCTTTCCACTGATGATAAGCTCTGAGACTCACTCTCACCTGGTAACAAGGGACCAGTGACTGCGTGTCTTCCTAATTATCATGTAGAGCCTCCCCCTAATACTACACAAAGTCTGTATTATTAAATGGAATTTCTATTTCACTTGGCTTACATGAAAAAGAAATAAATATTCTCCAAAGCATTAAGTGCTATCTGAGGAGTATTTTCTATCCTCTTTCTTCTACCCTATCTTCCTCCATCCTTCTATTCCCTCCTTCCCTCTTTCCTCCCTTCCTGCTTACCTCCTTCACACCCTTCTTCCTTTCCTTTCTTCTTCCTTTTTTTCTTGTTCCCTTCCACCCTCTTGCTACACCTTCTTTCCTCCCTTCCTCCTTCCTTTTTTTCCCAGATGAACATATTTCCTACACCCAGCCTTATGCAAGCTGCCATGCCTAGCTGAAGGAGTTTCTTTAACCTAGAGAAGAGTTCAATGTTCTCTCTGAGAAATTGTTGTCAATTTTTCCAAGAAGGAAAAATATCATTAATCTCCCTTTATACCAGAGGAGTTTATTTAAGCCAGGCTACTTTTCTAGAAACGTCAGGGTGAAAAAATAAACCTTTCAGCATTCTGTTCTTCAGAAAGGAGTTGGAAAATAAGCATGCCCCCAAATAGCAACTATTTGTGAGTTGGGTGGCAGGAGATTATTACAAGCCTCAAGTTCTCTTTTAATGTATCCAAGCTTCTGTCTTCTCTGCTATATTTTTAGAGTAGGGAGAGATTGTTTAAATGAAACTTCACATTAAAAGAATCTCTATTTGAGAGTTTTGTTTTGTGGTCAAATTTTATGCTATTGGTATGTACAATGTTTAAAACAAATTTGGTGCCAAATTCGGCACTAGTGGATAAATCCTTGTGGTGCTGTCATGGTGTAAGAGTATAGCTTGAGTATGTGAACACACAACTATCGTCTCTAAAGGAATAGGAGAGAGTTTATCCTGGAATCAGATATGAAGCACCACTGACTTCGAACAGCGATTGAGGCGAATACAAATATCTTGTTCCAATGTAGTCTTAGATTCAGTTTTTATAGTAAGGAAACAGCAGAAAGCAATGAATCAAAACTTCTTCCAATACATTGGTGGAAAGAAGCGGCTGGCAAACTACAGACTAGTGGGGAAGTACAAGCTGTGCATTTCAGATATGGTCTGATGACATCCTTATTAGCTTTTAGCTGGGTGAAAAGTAGCAGTCTGTTAATATTCTCCAAAAGAATTTACCTGACAGGCACAAAGATGTGAGTCAGATATACAGCTAGCTATCACAGGGCTAAAGATACTCCAAAGTAATTTGGTTTCAGCCTGCAACATTTTCATTCTCCACTATCATGCACATTCAAGCCAGTTAATCTTGTAGAATCTTCTACTCAGGTCCTGTTACTTGTGGATTTTAGGTTTAAGGACTGTGTGTCATTCAAGGCCTACTGTAAAGGACCTGTTTCCTGTGGAGCACTTGATGAGACCATCTAAACTGCTCAATGTGTGTAAAGGCTTTAGTAAAAAGGAAAGGTTATGTTAATTAGACAAGAGATTTTGTTTAAACAAATGTTTTTGCTAGTTTTGCTTCTGATATATGGGATCTAATCCAGAGCCTTAGACAAGCTTGACAGCGACTCATCTATCTTCTGGATTCAGAATAACAATGTCAGATGAAGAGTGAGGTCAAGGCTGGGACCGCCAATAATCTCTCCCTGTACATAAAGCAAATTCAATACCGTTTGAAGCTTGGTGTTCTTGGAGGACTCCCCAACAGTGGGAATAGGTGAGTGTGTCTCTGACTCTTTCATCTGCTCTTGGGACCCTTTTCCTCCTACTCAGTTGCTTGTGCATCCTTGATATCAGGGTTTATACACAGTTCAATTGTAACTTGTTAAGGAATGTTTGATGGATATCCCTGGGAGGTTTTTTTTTTTTTTTTTGAGGGAAACAAAACAAGAGTGACATGAATCTAGGGGACAGGGCAGGTGGAGGTAGAATGGGGAGTAGGAACTGGTCAGAGTGAAGGGAGGGAAAACAGAATCAGAGAGAGTGAGAGTAAGAGCAAGAGAGAGAGAGCGAGAGAGAGCAAGAGAAAGCGAGAGCGAGAGAGCGAGAAAGAGAGCGGGAGAGGGAGAGGGAGAGGGAGAGGG